TTTCCATTTGGACTTGCTGTTAATTTGGCTACATTACAAATTGCAAGCGGGGATCATAATATTTGGATAGGACTTTTCATCACCAAAAAACTCAAGAAAATTAAACCGTATCTAATGCTTAATAGTATCCTCATCGCATCTGGGAGAGCTGGCCGCGGGAGTTCAAGGACTGCTCGCAGGTCCCTCAACACGGGGGTCCCGGTCAGATCGTTGGTTCTATGACTCAGCATTTCTCGTGGGCGACTTTCTTGTTCAATTTGGAGCCAGCTAAAATAAAGAGATAAAGTTTTCAGAGTTCTGTCAAGATGTAAAATAGCTTTCCCATTGCACTTTGTGTATTTTTCTCTCTCATTCTTCAGAGATTCTTGGATGGTACAGCCTACTCCATTAGAAACATCAAGACCATAAAGACCAAGTTTTGATCCAAATCATATAAATAGCCGACAAGATTTTTCTTATTCCCGGGAGTTATATTTTGGCTGCATAACCGATTCTCGTGCCGCTCTCATAAAGCAATAACTCATTGATCAGCGTACATGCAAAGCGTGTCTAAGCTGTGTTCTTGGAGGATTTTCTTCCAATTCAGGGCTGACCGAGTACAAAGGAAACCTTTGTCTGTGGTGTTTCAGAGTCATAATTGCTGCCAGGCTGAAAAAGGCGATACCCTTACGATGACAAATAGCAGGACACTTACAGTTGATGATGACAATTTTTAAAAAGCATCGTTGTCACGTTTTTAATGGATGGTCTGCAAATCTTCCAGAACCCTCAAAATGAGATGGTCTCCTGAATGCCATGGAGAGCTTCATCAGATCGGTTCTAAAGGAAAGGACACCAGTTTGGCTCAGTGGATAGAGCGCTGGCCTGCAGACTGAAGGGTCCCAGGTTCCATTCTGGTCAAGGGCATGTATAATACTTTGGTTGAGGGCGCATCCCCAGTGGGGGGTGTGCAGGAGGCAGCTGATCGATGATAACTCTCTCGTTGATGTTTCTAACTCTCTATCCCTCTCTCTTCCTCTCTGTAAAAAATCAATAAAATATATTTAAAAAAGAAGAAAAGAAAATTAAAAAAGAAAAGGACACCTAGTTCTATTTTGAATGCATACAAAGGCTGGGGAACAGCAGAGGGCAAAAGGCCCCCGCACCCCTCCCCCACCCTGATGGTTTGTTACTATCTGAATCTGAGGTCCTGGGTTCTTGCTTCTCAAATCTTATGCTAGCCAGGTCCCCTGGAAAAGATATTCCACTTTTAATACATTGTTCCTCCCCTCTTCCCTTCCCCTTTCTCCCTTCTCATGGTTCCTAAGTGAACATTTATTTACTGCAAACCACCTACTGGTAAGTTCCACGCCTGGCCCCAGGTTCTCAGGAAACAATCATGCTGGGGTGGGGGTGAGGCTTGAACAGCCTGTCCTGCCCCCTCCCCCGGGGCTTCCTTCCACAAACACCAGGGAGGCACGGAGCTTGGCAGCCCTCTTGCTGCTGCGAATATGGGGATGTGTTTATCCGGCCTGTCCCTCTCCATAGTAGTAGCCGAGTCAGGCCAGAATCTCCAGGGGACTGCATGGGACAGGGCACATGTGCATGTTTGCATGTGAATGTAAGTGTGTGTGAGTGTGTGCGCACATGTATGTGTGTGGAGTGTCCAATCCATCTCCATGAAGGACTTCCATGTGTGTCATTGGGGACCTCTTTCTCATTCACCAGAGCCTCCAACAGTGTCTGGCTCAGAGCAGTCACCCCAGACAGCTGTCTGAGTGCTGGGAGGTCAGCAGCTTTCCCAAACCACCTGTGTCCGTTCTGGTGATTGTTGCATCCTAAGGGCCTCGACATACATCTATATCTTCAGACGAATCGCAGTTGCCTTTTCCCTTCTCCTCACTCCAGATGCACACTCTGACTTTGCTGCCTGGACCTCCTCCATCCCCCATCACGCAGGAGTCACTCCTGGAGCCAGTTTCTTCCCCAAGGCCTTTGCATCTGAACAGGGAGGGGATTTTGAGGGGACGGCTTTCCCAAAACAACGGCCCAGAGGTCATATGGGACATGACCCTGTCTCCTCAATTCCCCGAGTCTCCCAGGAGCCTAGCTTCCCTTTTCTGGGCTCCAGGGCTCCAGGTTCAAGGCAAAGACACCTAAGTGTCCATGCAATTCCTGGTCTCCCAGCTAGGGGGGTTGCCACTGTGAGCATCTGTATTCCTGGTCCTCGGGGTATGATGGCCCTGACAGATCGAGCTTAGACTCGCTGTAACTTTGGAGACCCTTCCCTCATCCTCTGGAGTCATCAAGCTGCGATTCCTGAGGAATGCCAGTGTGCCAGGAAAAAAACTCTGCTTCCCAATCTGATGGGCCCCTGGGAACAACTATTGGGGGGGGGGAACACCCCAAAACCAACCACCACCGCATTTCTCTCTTGGTACCTGTGGCCGGCAGGCTGTGTCTGTGCTGTGGCCAGATGCTGCCTCCACCCCATCTGAGACATCACAGTGAGACTGGAAAGATGCTCTCTGGCTAGACAACAGGTGGCCACTGCGGCCTCCAGCTCTGATTGGCGGAGAGGCCAAGGGCATGCCCAGGGCCCAGAGAACCCACTCCATGGGGTGCTGCCCTGATGCTGTCTCCGCTCACTGCCAATGCGTGCAGCCCGCTGGGCCGTTAGGGAGCTCCGCTGGGTTGCCCGTGTTACCTGGGGACTCTGGAGGGGAGACCGAAGCTTATTTTGTGGGGGGTAGTTGGCGGGGTGTCAACCCAGGGACCATGTGGGCAGCTGGTCCCTTCCTGAACACACACTGCTCCCCGCTTGGTCCCCGGGCACGCGTTTCTGCTAAGAGAAGCGCCGATCCACACGTGTTCACCTAACGAACGTTTACCTTCCGCTGCCCGGTCCCAGGAAGATGCCATCCTGGGAAGGGGCCTACACAGGTGTTCCGAGCCCAGGGGCCCTTGTAGGATGCTCCGGCTGGCAAAGCTCAGGCCCCGGGCCAGCAATGTGTGCCCCTGGGACCACGTGCCGGTGAGTGGGCGCTAAAATAAAAAAAATCTGTACGTGCCACCTGTCCTGTTCAGTACCCCCTGAATCACCACCCTGGGGAGGGGCTACTGGGCATGGGACACTTTCCTGGGACCCCATTCGTTGTTCTTCAGGCTGGTCCCATAACTCAAACGACAGGCAACAGAGAAAAATCAAACTTAGTACATGCACCATTGGGGGATTCACATGAGCATGGAAAACCTGAAGACAGCCAGGGGGAACGTGGGAGATGGCACGTTGGAGGGTCAGTGGGTGGGGGGTGGGGTGGGGGAGGGGGGTAGGCCAACAGGTGGCACAGTTCTGGCAGGGCCACCTCGAGGCAATGCAGCAGGGACAGATTTTGTGCTTGGATCATGGGGGAGGGGGCCCACGGATTTCCTATGTGGGGTCACTATTCGAAGGGTCTCTTCCTGAGGCATTTGCCCCCCCCCCCCCCCCAATCAGGTGAGGGGGAAAGAAGGGGACACGCTGGTCCTGAGTTTGCTGGGCTTTAATTGTTTTCAGCTAAAAACAATCTGCACATTCCAGAGCCAGGCCAACCCCAAACACCGCTCCCCACCTGAGGCCTCAGCTCTGAGCCAAGTCCCCACCTTGGCCCAGCTGGGGGCCAGACTCCTGAACCAGGCACTCAATCCCAGGGCGGGGACGGGAGTTGGGGGGGGGGGGGAGGAGGAAAAAGGGGGCATGTAGCTTAGAGCAACAGGAAGAAATGAACTAGGGGGGTGTGTGGCTGAGTGCAGTGCCAGGAAGTTAGCCACCCAGACAGAACCTTTAGGAAAACGGGGACATGTTCCCTCGGCGCAGCTAGGGATCCCCTTAGACCCAGGGACAAAAAAATACAAACAAGAGCGAAGCAAACACGAAGGGGAGGCCTCCAGGCTGCCCACCTGGGAAGGGTCAGGCCCGCCTTCTGCCACAGGTGTGTGGGGGGGTAAGGGGTGCTGCTGCAGGACTGGGTGCTCCCGCGGGGGTGGGTGCTGCTGCAGGAGTGGGTGGTGTGCAGGAGTGGGTGCTCCCGCAGGAGTGGGTGCTCCCGCGGGCTGGCCGCCGGCTTAAGTGCCTCCTGCCAGGGGCGTGAGTGGGGTGAGGCGGGGAGTGGGGTAGGGGAAGCCAGGGACCCGCACCCACCGGCGGAGCAGGAGGCGATGGGAAGAGGGCGGGACGGGCGCAGCCGGCACGTGGGTGCGAGTGGCCGGAGTCGGGGGTCCGGCCTCGGGGGCTGCACCGGCGGGAAGGCCAGGGGGCCAGGGGGGGGGGGGGGGGGGCTGGCTGCGGCGGAAGGACAGGGGCGCCCGGGGTTGGGGACAAAGGGGGCCGGAGGGAAGGGGGCGCGGACGAGGGAGAGGCCGGGCTGTGCGGGGCAGGGCCGGGCTGGGAGCGCACCGGCGGGGCGGGCGGGCGGCCCAGCTGCCAGGGGCGGAGCGGCGGCGCGGGGAGGGGCGGGGAGGGAAGGAGGGAGAGGAGGGGAAGGGAGGGGAGGGGAGGGGAGGGGAGAGGAGGGGAGGGGCGGGGAGGGAGGGAGGGAGAGGAGGGGAGGGGAGGGGAAGAGGGGAGGAGAGGAGGGGACCGCGGCGGCGGAGCAGGAGGGGGAGCGGAGGGGAGGGGCCGGGCCCCTTGTCTCCGCGGCTCCGCGGCTCAGTCCGCCCGGGAGGAGGAGGAGGAGGAGGAGGAGGAGGTGGAGGAGGAGGAGGAGGAGGAGGAGGAGGAGGAGGAGGTGGAGGAGGAGGAGGAGGAGCGGCAGCCGCCGCCGTCCCAGCCTCGCCCGCCGCCCGCCCGCCCGGCCAGCGCACCTGAGCGCCCGCAGCCCCGGCCCCGCGCCCGGCCCGCCGCCTCCCCGGTGCCCGGCCCGGAGCCCGGGGGGCTGGTCCGGGGCCTCCGCTCCTCCCGCTCGCGTGGCCGCCCTTTGTGTGCGGCGGCCGGGCTCCCGGACTCCCGCCGGCCCGGCGCCCTCCGGCCACCCGCCCCGCGC